ACACACCCATCACCACACACACAATTGCAGTCCTCTCCTCCACTACTCTCGGCCTCAACACAACCATCATCACACACACAACTGCAGTCTAAATGCGGCCCCCCACGAGATCCTAGCACCTGCGACCATCCTCCACCCCCAATCTCTCCTCCACAACTCTCGGCCTCGACACACCCATCACCACACACACAATTGCAGTCCTCTCCTCCACTACTCTCGGCCTCAACACANCCCCCAATCTCTCCTCCACAACTCTCGGCCTCGACACACCCATCACCACACACACAATTGCAGTCCTCTCCTCCACTACTCTCGGCCTCAACACAGCCATCATCACACACACAATTGCAGTCTAAGTGCGGCCCCCCACGAGATCCAAGCACGTGCTACCCTCCTCCACACCCAACTCCTCCACAACTCTCGGCCTCAACACAGCCATCATCACACACACCACATGGACAAACGACAAAAAACAGAAACCGCACGATGATCACAGAAATCGCAAAGAGGAATAGCGACCACAGATAGAATCACATCATCAGCAAGGACTCGAGGAAATGCGAAGGAAGAGCAGATGATAACACTTTGGTGAGGGAGAGTGGGAGAAGATCAAACCTACCTCCTTTCTCGGTTTCCAAACCTATAAGGTCAGTTTTGTTTGTTCCCCCACTACGTAGCTACCGTCTTTCCCTGACTTACCGCCTTCACCCGAATAGAACGCCCGGTCATTATAGTCGTATTTGGTGCAATTTTCAGTCTAGATACAGCTATAATGACCGGGCGTTCTATTCGGGTGAAGACGGTAGAACGCCGGGTGCTCCGATCGGTATTCAAGACACTCTCCCATCGACATACCTGCCGAGATACCTCATCATTATACGCCCGGTCATTATAGCCGTATTTGGTGCACTTTTTAGTCCACATACCACTACAACGACCGGGCGTTCTATTCGGTTGAAGGCGGTAGATGCCGCCACCCACTGTTCGGGGGAAGAAGCGATCCCGCAATCTACACATGGACACACTTGCCAAAATAGACATCCCAGAGGGAGAGAGAGACAGACTGACCGGGAATGCGGGTACGTGCGTACGAGAGAGATATAGAGGGGGGCAGAAAACGGAGCGCGGTAAATTTAACAACGAGATTGAGAATGGTCAGTCGAGCGCAGAGAGAGCTTACGAACGCCCGGGGAAGGAGAACAGAATAGACTGGGGGAAAATGAGAGACATACAGGCGCAGCATTTCAGTCCAGCAAATCGTGCTCTGCTTGGAGATAGAGGAAGAAGGGCGTGGTCTGGACGAGGGACAGATAGGGAAGAGAGAACATAGCGGAACATTATAATCAGAGAGAGAGAGAGAGAGAGAGGATCATTGACCTAGAGCGAAGGTGGGAGCACAGACGTGGCAAGGAGGAAGAGCTGACGCCAGAGACAAGAGGCCCAGTGTTGCTGGGTGAAACGTTGTTGCACCAGAGGAGTGTACCAATCAAGAGCGGAGAGGGCAACAAAGATGGCCGAAGGGAAGTCCTCAGGGACATCCGTTAAAATTGAGACGATATAGAAAAGGGTAATTAGCAAGTCCCTCTCCGCTTCCAAAGATGACACGCACATAGAAGGATCCTTCTGTCGCCTGACTTGCCTGACAAACCACTTCCTCGAGCAACTACTCCCCATTGGAAACCACCTTTACACTTCACGATTCTGAGTCCTTGCTTGCTCCGACGATCCGAAGAACGGAAAAATAAAACAAAAACAACAAATGCCCGAAGAGGAACGAAGAAAGTCATAGAGAGAGAGAGAGAGAGCGGAAAAACAAAACAAAAACAAAAAAATGCCCGAAGAGGAAGGAAGAAAGTCATAGAGAGAGAGAGAGAGAGAGAGAGAGAGAGAGAGAGAGAGAGAGAGAGAGAGAGAGAGACAGAGACAGAAAGATCCAGCGACCGACTGAACGACCGATAAGAGAGAGAGTCAGAATGAGAGAAACTGACACACACACAGAGAGAGAGAGAGAGAGAGAGAGAGAGAGAGAGAGTATTGCGAGTAGGCCGACAAGAGCAAAATCCTGTTGTTCATAATCGTCAAGAATGCGATACGTCATTCGTCGCTTCAAGAAGGGGGTTGCAGAGCCGGACGTGCTTATGCCTCCATTCGTCGCTCTTACCTGACTGGCCAAGGGTGGCGTCTACCAGCAAGTGAACTCGATGCGATGGCTATGGACATGAGGCCGGGAAGGAGTTTGAATGTGAACACGACGTGATTGGCAGCCACGATGAAGAAGCTGAGGGAATCAGTGAGGATGAAAATGAAGACCGCTCAGTGGCCCCATGCGCCAGTTCCGGCGCGGAGAAATCTAGCCCGCCCTGCCCGCACACACCGGCGCGTGTGTGCGCGCGCGCGGCGATGCAACATTAGAAACTAGATGTTGCCGGACGTCCGTAGATAGGTAGAGAGAGGAGAAGAGTCGGGCCCATAGTGTGTCCCCCGATCCCCTCCCTTGCTTTGCCTCCCTGGTCGCAACGTAGACCTCACTCTTCTGCCCGGTCCAACTGGACCGACTAACCCGACCGCGGGCGCTGGCCGCTGTCATCAGTCTGCCACCAATGTCGAACCCGGCCTGCTGTTCGATTGCCCACGCAAGACGGGTCGCCCCCCTCGTCTCCCGCCCGTCGCTTGCGGCATCCCATGCAGCAGCAGCAAACCGACAGGGGACCTGGACCCGTGCGAAGGTCGAAAAACCCGCGCAACGCGCCGCTTCTGTCTGGTAATCTGTCTGGTAATGTGTAGACAGCTCACCCAGCGACGGGTCAGAACGCTGAAGCGATGTCGACTTGGGTCTTGCTGTAACCCCCCCTGCATAGCCTCTTGCCTCGGGCGAAAGTCGAGGGATTGGGAAAGAGGGAGACAGGGGAAGAACCGGGGACCGCGGACGCAATGCACCAGCCCATCGTGTTCTGATTCGTCCGATCAGACAAAAGAGCAAAAAAACAGTGCACCACTGAGGGGAGCCATAGCAGTGAATGAAAAGGCTGCCGAAACCAAGGATGACACGCATAAATCGAGAGATGGGCACACGTGCTCCATGGGGTTGTCTCGAGCCAGCGCAGCACACGTTCAGACCATTCAGGACGGCAGCTCGCTAGGTTATCACTGATAAGCATGAGGAAAATGAGTTCACGAATAAACATTCTGGGGATTGTGGGGTTGATCCGGTGGTATTGGTTACCTTAGGGCTCAGCTTGGGGGGGGCATGGGTTCTAGGTGGAGGGTTGGTTGGACACTATCCCTACTGAAGGGTTGGGGTCCCTGCGGTAGTGGATGTCTTAGGGGTACTCTGGTTTGATGTAAAGCTGGGATAGGCCCTGGTGGAGGATATCGTTGGGGAGGCTGCATTACAGGCTGTCTTAGGGGGGTGAAGGTTGGGCTGTTACCTGCGTGGAGAATACTGTCAGATTAGAATAGCCCAAAGTGGCTCTTGCTGATGATGACTGAGGTTGGGGGAGCAGATGGTGGCCGTAAACCGGCTGAGGACGGAAAGTGGAGTTACTCTGGGGGATGCTAATAGAATGCCTGAACATCCAGTTGATGATAGAGGTATGGGGAGTGGATGGTGGTCGTAAGCCTACTGAGGACGGAAACTGGAGATGCTCTAGGTTCGAATAACCTCCGCAAGAATTCAAAGAATAACCATGATAGGGATCTGAAGATGATAAGGCTAGATCTCTTTAGAAAACCAGAAAAAACTAGGGTTCGGCTATGGGACTTGTAGGTGCATGCTTACCCCTAGCGCTCGGATTGCCCGGTACAACGTGGCTTGTTCCATAGTGCTTCAATCAGGGCCGGGGAGGGAGGTGAGCACCTGCTTAGCCCTGATGCCTATAACCGTTGTCCGGTCAAATGATCACTAGAATGGGTGATGATCCTGGGTATACTCAGGTAGGACCTTAGGAGTAGGGATGCGTCGGGGATGATGACGATGATGATGATTATGAGTAAGGGTGGGAGGGTGTCTCACGGGGGACCGGTTAGGCAATACATTGGATGATCAAATGGTCGGGTGCTGATTTATGATTTTGGAGTTTACTGTCTCCTGCAGAATCTTGTCCTATTTCCGCTGCACAATTCATGAGAGAAGCCTGCACCCCAGAAACCGCTCAGATGAGCCTTTCGGAATTTGTCGGAACCGCCAATTCACACAGATAATGAAGAGGGGGGGAGGAAATTAAGTGGATTTATCCCAGTTTATACATGCCTCGAATAGATAACAGTATTTGTTTATCACTACTCAAAGTTAAAAAAAGAATGAAACTGAATTTTCACAGGACAGTGAGATTGTTTGCAATTGTCTCCCACTTCCAATGGATGATAGAGAAGGTTAAACCACCACTCTATCTGACGTCATGAAAGTCGGGGGACCGGTAGCACATGTTCATGGAGCTACCGGTAGCATTGTGTGGAGGCCCGGCAGAGTGGCAAAAATGAAAAATCTGGCTAATTGCCACCACCTAGACCATCACTTATTTCGTGGTTATTTTTATTTTTTTTACCTTTTTAAAATATTTTTTGGGGGAAAGTTCCCGATTAACTCTACAGACCTTCCATTTTTCAGATTTTAATCAATTTTTTTTAGCATGAAAAATCGTTGAAATTGGGGTACATTTTTTGTTGGCCCACAAATAGCAAAGTGGCAAAAATTATGAATTAGACAAATCGGCGCGACATTTATTTCACCGATAAATAATGTTTTAGAAAAAACTAAAATATTTTTAATGAAAAGATCAACGACCAAATCTAAAGACTCTTTAATTTTCAGAGTTTTCAAGATATTATTTTGAGCGAGAAAAATCATGGAAGTTATGGTATTTTTTTCTTTGGCAAAAATAAAAAATATGACGAATTTGCGCGACATTTATTTCATGGCCTAATATATTTTTTATTTTATTTTTTTCTTATATTTTTTCCTGGAAATATCACGACCTAATCTACATGATCTCAAATTTTCAGATTTGTTTCCTTATTTTCCTCAGCACGAAAAATTGTCAAAGTTGACGTGTGAAAATTGCGGGATTGAACCCGTCTGCGCCTCTAAAGACTCGCTCCGAACTTACTGGAATGCCACTTTTTTGGTGGCGGTGGCGGAGCAGAAACCCTGACAAGGATATCTGCTTAGTGTTTTTGAATGTCGGACGTTGTCGGGCTTTCGACAAAATTTTGACTTGATGAGGCTGACGTTTGCCAAAAGTTTATTCAGACCAACCTATGGCCGAGGGACTAAAATTATTATGAACCTTAGTCCGAACGCTTGTGGCATCCGAGAGTAATGGCGGTAATCGGCGTTGTGACCGGTTATATGCAGTTTTTAGCAGGGGCGCAGAGACACACGATTATGAGAATGTTAAAGTTAGACATATCCTACCTCAAATAATGACGCACGGCTGCTAAGTCGCGTGATTTTGAACCTAAGTGGCTGCACATATCAAGGAAAGGCCGACCCTATGGCTGAAGGGGGGCAGTGGGGTCTGCAAAGCCATAAGAAGGTAGAACGACTGGGTCTGACACTTCTTATAGAAGAGTTGTTCCTTCTACATCCATGGAAGGAGCTAGCCCAGCATGTTACATTACTTGATTCTCACTTTGGAGATAGAGGGATCGAATTCAACCCGCCCCACTGGCTAGCTCCTTTTGGAGCAGCCCGCTAGGCGAGGGTAGTTGGGCGTGACCGATTTCAGTTGTGCGATCTTTGGGATCGCGCGGTTTAAATCAGCCGCGCCAAAATTGGTATCATGATGGCCCCTGCGCAAGGATGACACACATAAATTGAGAGATGATCCAAGATTTTTTCATTCCCATGACGGATCAAACTCGGGTCTGTATTTCAACAGTTTGTGGGTGTACCACGATTGTGACATGACCGTTAGCATAAACGAACAGAGGGAAAAAAAAAAAAAACTAAGGCGTTATGTGGCATGGCGAGGACTACAGAACGACCATTTCGTCAAAATGGACATTTTTTATTTTTTGAACGAAATTGAAACCCAGTTTTTTTGTCGAAAACTCGTCAAAATTTGTTGTTCCTGAGGGTCCAGTGTTTTACAAACGATGGACCCCCCTGGTTGTACATGGACCTAGCTTGAGACCAGGCACCTCCAGGCAGGACTAGCTGGAGGTACCTGGTCTCAAGCTAGATCCATGTACAGCTAAGGGGTCCAGCATTGGAAGTTCCAAATTCATTGGTCAATCAGCAGGCTCGCCATAGTTTGATCGAAGAGGAGCCTCAGAGACTACAAGCGAAGCAACTTTTATTTTGCCGCCTCTTAGTGCTGCGCAAATGGCATGGCAAGCGCTGTAGCATAAGCTGACAGGAAAGTTGAAGATATAGTTCATACCATGGATAAATTCATGGAGAAAGGCATCACATGTTCACTGTAGGTCTAGACGTAGATGCTTCGGAGTCGGGGGGAGATGTAAAGTTCTCTCTTACCACTAACGCTGGACCAACAAATTTTGACGAGTTTTCGGCAAAAAAACTCGGTTTCAATTTCGTTTAAAAAATAAAAGATGTCCATTTTGACGAAATGGCAGTTACAAGGACTTATAGTCCTTTAAAAGGAGGTAACGGGCGCTGAAGCACCCGTTCGTTTTTGGTAGGTTACGTAGTTTTTTTAGTTTTTTTTTTTAGTTTTTTTTTTCCTCTTCTTCTTCGTTTTTTGTCCTTTCCCCTTCAATGTGGCCTGTTCATTTGCGGACACTCGCTTTTTGCACGGGTTGCAGCCGTTAAAAGAGCGTCCGAACCTGACGCTGGGGGCAGCCAGGTACAGGCGCGCGTTGAGGATAGGGGAAAAAAGATCCTGTTGAGCTTGACTCTAGTTCAACCTTATGAAATGACTTGGGTGGGGCATCTGTTCGTTTTGAATGGCAGGCCGCCCCCTCACAGGGAACACAAGGGGGCATTAAGTAGGGGAAAAAGAGGGAGGGGAAGGGGGGGGAGGGGAGGAACCAGGAAAGGGCAACAATCGCGATTATGGTTCAGGTGTAGATTGGTTGAACATGAGTGTGACCACTCCGGCACAAGCTCTAGAGTTGAACAACCAATCTTGAAAATGGTTGAGTTCATTATGAACTTGACATACTTGCACTGGAGAAAAGGCTAGGTACGTCAAACTTCAAGTTTGAAGAGTTGTAGTTCTTCAAAGAAAGGTCAGAAGAAAAAAAAAAAAATAAGTGTTTTGAAGTTGGTAGACTTCAGTTATCTCGTGAAATTCCGAGATGGTTAAGATAACGTAAAAAAAAATAAAAGGAGGTAGTTGAAAGT